ACTTCTTTGTTTTAACTGCTAAATATTTTTAATGAAATATCGTATTTCATTGAAATGCATTTAAAAATTATTTTGTAAACATTTATTTTTGGCAGCTTTGGTCCTCCATAATAAGGTGCAGATTCAGAGTACTGAAATACTTCCTGCGTGTTATTTTAACCTCCTCACCTCAAACTCCAGGTACTCCTGTCGGAGTTTCTGCTCCTCCAGCTCACGACCTTTCACCTTTCGGTCCGGCGTAGCGGCGGTGAGGTCAGACAGCTCAGAGGACACCGCCCTGAAACGGTTCTCGTGAGATTTGACCTGCTCCTCCTGTCGGGACAGAGGGTGGGGGGAGAGGTGTGAGTCTGGTGAAAGTGGGCGGAGCTGAAAAGGACGGCGGCGGCGTTTTTACCTGTGACAGTTTAGTGTTGGATCCCGGCAGTAGAGGACGGCTGAACTTCTTCTGGGACCCGATCGCGGCCGGGAACGGGGGAGCAGAAAACATGGCCGCCACTACGTTGATGCGCGTGATCCACGACTGCATCTGCTCGGCGTTCCTGCAGGAAACACAGGAAACACCGTAACTTCCTGTCTCGTCCGGTTTAGTTTAAGCTGTTTATCCTTCCTGTACTGCCTGCAAGCTGCTTGGAAACCCTCCTCCCCCCCTAAACACAGACAGACTTACGGGGCCTGGAACAGGAAGACCCTCCAGTCGGCGGTCCTCAGGTAGAACACGTTGGGCCTCTTGCTGTAATCGGCGGCCCGCATGGCCAGAGAGTGATGGATGGACACGGCGTTCTTCACGTCCTCCTCCGTCAGCTCCTTCTCAGCTCGGTACTCGTCCTGCGGATCAGATCGGCGTCAGCTCTCCAAAAACTCAAACATGAAAGACGCTTAAACGCGATGCTCACCACATTCCTGCTCGACTGTCTCGCTATAAACGCCGTTTCTGATTAAAGGAGTGAAACGGAAACGGTTCTTTCAAAGCTCTGACAAAGTTTCTGAGAAAAAGTTCTCATGGCACAAAAATCTGTGTTTTCATGTTAACGAGCTGCGAGGAGTCCATAAGTATGTGGACGGGTACTCAGGCTTTATAGTTCAACCCGTCCACTTACTTTTGTGCAGCAGTGTGTAAAGCAGGCTTCACTAGTTCAGGTATTTTAATCAAAGCTCTAAAGTCAAAGATGAACGCGGCGGTGGGCGGAGACGTTAAAAACTGCCGCTCCTGAATCAGCGCGGATAGAAAAACAGGCTGACGCCCAAGCTCGCTGCGTTTCCTGTCCTGCGCCTGACCCGGGGACACAAACAGAGAGAGGGGCTGCTGGGAAACGTAGTGCACGCTTACCTTCTGCAGGTAGAGGACCATACCCTTCAGCATGGCGTAGAAGGACTTCCACCCCCTCTTCCCCCGCGGCGCTGCAACAGCACAAACACCAAACAAACAGGAAGTGAGGGATCAGCTGACAGGGGGCGTGGCAAAACTGAAAACTGAAGGAGGAGGAGCGGCGTACTTCTCTTCCCGTCGGGGTCGGCGTGGACTTTGCGGACCAGGAAGCCGCTCTTGTACAGCTCGCCATCGGCCTGATGGGCCACGCCCACCAGCGGGTTTCCACTACTCCCGAGGCGTTTCATGGTGTGGGAGGCGGAGTCTGTTCGAATGTCCGCCAACTCCGACATGGACTTCCTCAACTCCTCTTCATCACTTCAAGAGAGGAAACAGTTTAAAAGAGCCTGCGTCAGCTCGTCGCCATCGCAGAGCGTTTACGTCTCATTGCTAACGACTCGCTCGGGTAACGCCGTTCTCTTCCATCCCGCTGGGTTCATGTTTCAGCTCACCGTCACCTCGCACTTCCTTTTCTTTAATTCTCATAAATGAATAAATGACCTCACTTCCTGTGTCAGCTCGTCGATCAGTTTCATCCTCTCAGTGGATTCATTTC